AAAATTTATTATGGTTTATAATGGCAAATGATACTTTGAATATTACATGTTAATAACTTGATTGGAATTATAACTTTGAGTTGACAGTTTGATACTTTGAAAATTTTGAGCCAGTCCTACCCCCAAGAGCTGTAGGCTGGGGCCCAAAGGAGTCAGTGTGCTAAAATTTCTTCATTTTCCTTGTTTAGAATCAGAGGTGCTAGTTTCAAATACTTTTCAGTCTTAAATCTGTATGCTAGATATTGAATAAGGTGGTTTTATTGTTTTTTGTCACTTTGAATAATATTTCTGTTCATGTTAGAAACAAAATCAACTCTCTGTATAAATATATCGGGTGACCGTTGAGGCCCATGGGCCTCTTGTTGAATTTAAAATGTTGGCAAATGGGGCCATACCAACCACATACATACTTTAGTATCATAGACAATATCTCCTGAACATATAGCGAGTCCCAGCTGGAAACATTTTACCCGGATTGTAACAACTGTAACCACAGTTACTGTAGTAAATTCACCACGGAATATTTTAACAAAAAGGTAGCATTTCTAGACACCATTACTGCGGTGTAATCTGATTTTTCGATCAATACACTTAATCTATTTACTTGGTACATAACACATAACACCATTCTATTCACTGTAAGTACTGACACGTCCCCACAGATAATTTGGTATGCCTTTTAGAATCTGGCCTCTTGACAGAAACTTCTTCAAACTATCACTCCGTTTTGTGCATTTTTGAAATGTGGCTTTAAAAAAGGTTGGGGAAAGGGTCGACAACATTTCTTTCATTTAGCATTTAATAATGCTACAACACGTTACTTGAAGAAAATCTAACATCCAGCAACCTAATAACCCAACATGAAATGTAAATAAAATACTTACTATTTCACTGTAAAAAAAAAAAAATTGTAAAAAAAAAAATTATACCCATTCTATTTCATCATTGAAATTCACTCAGGTGGGAAAGGCATGCAAAAGAAAGGTAAGATTTATGTATCATTGTAATGGAAGCACTTATATTGTTGTGGATGAGGGGTAACAGATTAATAAAGATGATAGAAAATAACACAATATGGACCAGGAGTAGCATGTACATAGCTCTTGATGTCTTTAAAACAATGGGCTACAATGGTACTACTAATTTTAATTCAGCGCAGAGGAAACATTTGTGCAGATTTTCTATTAACATTTGAGGTTATGGGGTCCATGATTTGAAGACATTGATTGTTTGTTGAAAGCAGGAAAAAAAACGAAAATTTTACCAAACTTGTTGGGACTGCATGATCAGTATATATGTAATATCAAATGTTTATAAAATGTTTCCATTGGTTGGAGATAAGGAGTGTAGATTTTAGTTGGTTTCAGTTTAGAACATTTGGACCAGATAGTTCTACCAAGTCTATTCCCATCAATAGTTATAAACAATGGATTGATAAAAATATAATCTTTAACAATTGTATTTGGTATTTTATTTCAGCACTACTCATATCGACCTTATTGTTGAACAAAATTTTATGAAAATATCACAAATATCATTATTAACTTGTGTTCACCCCTGAAGACACATTTGAACTCTTCCAATTCAAAGGTTGGAATAGTTCATTAAGAAATTTCAGGGATGAATGAGTTAAGGAAGATCAAATTGGAATTATTTTCTGAAGTGACTGTATGAGACAGTTTATAAACTTCTTTTTTAACGTTTTAATGATATCCTGCAGAAATGTGATTGATTTCGTCTTTATGACAATATTGTTTCTATGACAACAGGGGATGTTGACCTGAAGTTTGTGGGCTCTAGGAGTTACCTGTACAACAGTAAGACTGGCACCACCCCTATTGTTATACATGGGAACGGCCCAATCAAGGTATGGTAATACATAAATTCCATATATTTTCAAGATATATTGAAGTTAAAATAAACCCAGGCAATATTTCGTAAAGGACCCTTGTAACATTTGATAATAATAATTCGTATAAAAAATTGTTGTATGATACGGATACGGAGTATATATGGAACAAAACTTAGTTTTGAAAGAAATCATTCTGAAATACATATTTTCAAAACATTATCTGACTTGAACCCTTTCACCACTGTAGACCATAATGGACTCATCCAGATGAGAGTATGGTAGAGTCTATTAAAGTTACCTAGGGTTGAAAGGGTTAAACAAATAACCTACAGCAAAAACCTCTTTACACTACCACCATTTGTCAAGAGCAATGTTGGCATTATATAGGGGTTTGACAATATACATCAGAATTTGAGAAAAATGAAAACATGACATCTAAATATGTTGGCAGTAATTAAAATTATGTGAGGTAGCCGACATAACAGGGACATTATACTGGGTTTTTGCTGTATTTTCTACCATTTTAAAACTATGTGTGTAATTTGTACCTTTCAGCCGGAGTTTAACCGGATCGCTAACTACCTTGGTGATGGGTGGACCCAGAGTATGGGGTGTCAGTCGTGTGGTCGAGATTATATCAGTCTGAGAGATGTCAAGGTATTGTACAGCTTGTCAATTCTGTGATTTCAGCACTCGAAATCACTTTATTTTTGTGAGAGATTAATTTTTCTGTAAATCTGCAAGGAGACTCATTTGTAAATTAAAATCTTTATTTGAATAGCACTGAAAAAATCTTTAAGCAGAAATTTCACAAGTTCCACTTCTTGCGGACTTTGGGTATAGTGGTTAAGGCATATATGGCTACAGTAAGGTTGAATTAAATTCCTACTTCACGGGTTGGACTTTCTGTGACTTCCACCTCGAAAACCACAAAAATTAGAACCCAGCAAAAAAAAAAAGACTATCATAAATCCTCTCGATCACAAAATTCAAGCATTAATTTAACACTTCCATCGGCCAGAGTTTGCAAAATATACTATATTGTGCAAGGGAACATTTGGTAATTTACAGTATTTGATTTTGACTTATACACAGCAAGAATGAAGACAAAAGTCCAAATCCTTCCTGAAGAATTTTGATTTTGGTCTGTGCAGGTCAAATTTCACTTGTTCTTTTTTCCCATTGACACAGTATATTTCCTGGCTTTCATGTCATGTAGAACACCTTTTCTTTCTTCCCATAAACACTGTGCATCCTCAGATCTGGAGCCATTAGGAACATCTCTAACTTATTGTAAAATATTTGTAAACATAATAAAGACATCCCGAAAAACAACTAAGTGTACATAAGCTTATAGTGATCGTATCGACTTCAATTGTATATTGCCTAGCCGTCCATATTTTACACCTTTGTGTCATTTGTCTGACAAAGGTGACAGAGTACATACCATACTAATCAACGAAACATCACACATAAACACTTAATGGTTGTGATACAGAACCTTTCTACTATTCATACTTACCAACATGAAGAAAATGCTTAGAAACATCCTGACAATAGTTAATAGAAAATTAAAGCTTCAACTGGGTATCATATTAATCTCTCATTAGTTGATTAAATTTTCTTTTCATTGATCTGCAAGATAACCAATTTGAAGTTCAACAAATATGCGGAGAAGCTTGTTTCTTCACTTGCTATGATATTGCTATTCGTTTAGGATGAAGATTTCCCTACCGTGCTGGTAGCCGTGATGATAGAACAGCCCACACCGTTCCTTAATGAATTTCTGGGACATATTCGAGACCAGATCTACCCTAAACAAAAGATTGACCTTTTTGTTCACAATAAGGTAAGTCAGTTTGATTTGAACTCTTCTTGGTTTAACCTATTCACCCATAGAGTCACGTTTGAACCTTAACAAATTATAGACTAGGCAAGTCCAGTTAAAATATTTAAGGGTGAATGAGTTTATATATTCTCAAAGGAGACAAATGAAAACATATCCCAGTTACAATTATTCTTTCTCCTAACTTATACTATTTAAGGTTAAATATCAAATTTATAAACCATAGTGACCTTGAATGCAATGTGACCTTGACCTTGCGTGTCCTCAGGTGAAGTACCATGATGAGGCTGTTTCAAACTTCCTGGAGACAGTAAAAGATGAGTACCATTCCATCAACCACCTGCGGGCAGACGACCATGTGACAGAGGTGCAGGCTCGAAACTGGGCACTGTACGTACATTGTAGTTACCCATCTATCATATATAGCAAATTTGAATTTGTGCAGTGTTATTTTCATTTTTTCGTTGTGAAATTAATATTCTTGCAGTGTAAAATTCACAGAAAACACATTGGTCCGTTGCATCCAGCTCTGTTATCTTTAAATTTCTTATGCTATCACATGACTTTCACGTAACATGTCCATAGTTTCAGTCCGGTATGAACTGGTCATTAGAATGAAATTATATGTGACGCATAACTATTATTTGTTACCTAAAATAACGTGTACAGTAAATATATAGTAAAATGTTTTAATTTCATCACGTCGCCTTTTCCACATTGCGGCATCGGACAGCTCCAAATTTGTGACGTCACATCATTGTTGAGCCATTGTGATGTCACGCCACGTGAAATTTTGTGTACGATAGAAATTTCCTTCACCCCTTTCTTACCCTGGACAGCTCTATCTTACACACAGGGAAATGAGAGAAACATGTATACATGAATGCATTAAATGCTTGAGTGGATATGCAATGCTGAGCAATACACAAATTCTGTCTGAAATGTCACAAAAATATGAACGTGTGGTATTGTGTTGATTACATACCTACAAAACATTTTCTGCAAAATAGTAGTCAGGATTATCCCGTATAATGTTCAATTTACTTCCCAAAAATGAATAGAACCCACAATGGTTGGCAAAATGACATTGACAATGAAATATTGTCTTCACGTTTCCACGGTGTAAAATGGTACAATTGGAACCTTTTCTTGTTTCAATTTGTCAATTTTATATATGCATACCAGTAACAACCAACAAGTTCCAGCTGAACAAAAACTTAGACTACCTGGGGTAATACAACCTGTTGTATCCTGACAATGTGAAATACAGAACCTTGTGGTATACTGCCTGCCTTTGCTGGTTAGTAAGGCAGTCCTTCAGTAGCCTTAATGTTTTTCCTGTATCAGAACAAATATTATGCATGTTTTGAAGTGTCATAGTAATAAAAAAAAAATGAAATGGTAGAGATGGGTACCTACGACAGGTTTCCACTGTACTTTAACTAGAAAATCAGTAATTGTTTCTGTTTGTATCAATTCTGTACCACTGGTGATTATTGTTGTCCTTACAGAGAGGAATGTGCGAAGAGAAAGTGTCAATACTTCTTCAACGTGGACTCCACTTCCCAGCTCCGACACCAAGGGGGACTACACATCCTCATCGAAACCAACAGGTACACACATGCTGGTGTTTTTTTGCCATTCTTTAGTCCTCTAGTCTGACCATTTCTCACTTCACCAGACCCTATCAGGGAGAATGGACCACATCATGCAGTTTGTTTCAGGTAGTGGTTAATACACTTTGTGTTAAGGCTGAAATATAATAAGATTTCATTCTTTTTCTGTAATCCATAAAAGAATCACTGGTTATGCGGGAAAAAACGGTTTGTCTGTTTTTAAATGTAACATTTTTTCGGGGATAAATTCAGGCAGACCTGCAAAAGTTTATTAGGCATTGCAAGGCTTTGTGAAGGCATGCCTGAAAGTAGCATCAGATTTCTAGGTCCTACCTTATTTCATAAACGAACAACTCGGGTCCAACCGTTTGGATCGCGATAAACGAAAGCGGCCCTGGACACGATTGGGATACGGGAAGGGAGATAACTCCTATCAGATGCACATAAAATGAACAGTTAATTATAGATACCTGTGTCTATTGGAAACAAAACAATATATACCTAAGTGCATTATTGACAGGTTTTGTGTTTACTGTATGTGCCATTTGTATAAATTAGGTCATTGTACAACGAAACGTGATAAGGTTTGTAGGCGGAATGTCTGTTGTTTCAAACTCTTTTGATATCTATCACCCTCAGTAAAATCTGTTGGAAGATATTTGTCAGTTAAGAACAGTTTTAAAACTTACCTACAGTGAGACAGATCCATTAATGTATACATTGAATTTTTCAATGGCGAGCTAAAATTAAAAAAATGTGACAAGTTTCATAAATTTCATATGAATGAAAACGAGTGTAAGATCCTTTTTATCACATAATCAAGATTTGTGGCATTTATTCCTGCAAATCGACATTTTTCATGCAACCTTGAAATGTAAAAAGCCGCCATTTGGACTGCTGTGCGTAAGTCTGTGATGTCATGTTCTTGTCCTAGGCAATTGAAACTTGCAAGCAATCACAGGGCTAATAGGTCATATTAGATCGGTTACTATACCAAACAATATGACATGGGTATATTCACTGGATAACACAGTACATTATGTGATAAATGTGTATTCTATACACAACATATATACTTTATACAACACACAACTTCAAGATCTATATATCACATAGGTGTTTAACAGCACAGGTGTACTCTATATACCACTCATATGCTTTTACACATGTGCTCTTAAAACTACACATGCTTCTTACACCACACATGTACTCTGTCAATGCCTATATTGGTGGGTAATCTATCATAATCTATCATTGCTGTGTTACAGGACGGTGCTGGCACCCGTGCTGACGCGGCCATACCAGCTCTGGTCCAACTGGTGGGGCGCCCTCAACAAAAACGGATTCTACGCTCGTTCTGATGATTATATGGACATTGTACAGAATCATAGAATGTAAGTTTTACTACTGCTATATGTCTGTAACCAGCTAGTTCAAAAAGAATAATGCTTTTGATGAGTGATTTATAGTCAGAGGTGATGCAATGGTAAGATAATACATAGACAGCAGATGGAAATGTTGATTGTAAATGAGAGTAGATTGAGAAGCTGTTTTAAGTAATAACCAGCTTCTTGTGTAACTTGTGGAAGCAAGCTCCTTGTTAAGTTGTTGATTACTATAATTATTAGGGCCCCGTATCGGAGATACGGGTGCACTATAGTAATCACTCTGTCTGTCTGTCTGTCTGTCTGTCTGTCTGTCCACAAATTTTGGTCCTGGCTGATAACTTTGGTATTTATTGACCGATGTACATAAACTTGATCAAGATGTTCAGTTTACAAAAATACACGTTGAGGTAAAAAGTCAAGGTCAAAGGTTAAGGTCATAAGGTTCAAAGGTCAAGGTCAAATTTTACATATATCACTGATGAACATTTTGTTATGACATTATGAAGCAAAGTTGATCAGAATTAAACAAGGAGTCAACTGACCAAAGGTCAAGGTCATTGGGTCAGAGGTCAAGGTTAAATTTTGTACCTTTTCCCTGATGAACATTTTGTTATGACATTATGAAGCAAAGTTGATCAGAATTAAACAAGGAGTCAACTGACCAAAGGTCAAGGTCATTGGGTCGAAGGGCAAGGTTAAATTTTGTATCTTTTCACTGGTGAACATTTCGCTAAGACACTTTGGAGCAATGTTGCTCAGAATAAAACAAGGAGTCAATTGACCAAAGGTCAAGGTCACTGGGTCAAAGGTCAAGGTTAAACCTTTTCCCTGATGAACATTTTGTTATGACATTATGAAGCAATGTCGTTCATAACTTAACACAGAGTCAACTGACCTTAGGTCCAGGTTACGGGGTCCAGAGGGTCAAGGTCAAGTTTTGTATTTTTGCTGATTATCATTTTGTTATGATATTAAGAAGCAAAGTTGGTCGGAATTAAAGAATCACTGGGTTAATGGTCAAGGTCATTTGGGTCCAAAGGTCAAAGACAAAGTGGATCTCTGACTTTGACCCTGGCTCTTGATGGAGGAGGTGTGTAAGGTGAAATAAAACAAATCAAAGCTAACAAATGAGTTTTGCACCGGTATTTACATTTCTGTTAGCCCAGCAAATATGGAGGTGGAAGGAAACAAGACTCACATCATAGTACTGTAAAATGTATATTTTGCTTCCTTACGATTTTTTTTAAAGTCCAAATGTCAAACGTCAAGCTCAACTATATGGGCAGATTGCTTCTTGATGATTATGTGGGATATATTGCCACAAGACGGGGCCCTTACTGACCTGTCAGTGTTCTAGTTGCCACAGATTTCTTTTCGCCTTTTTCCTTCCTTAAAGAAGGCACATTTATCATTACAGCAAATATAGTTAGACGTACCAGTAATCATATCTGAGGGGCAAATTGTACTTGTGACGATTTGGGAAGGGCAAATGTTTAACCGGATGAAAAAATGCAGTTCTTCTACACGTATAACAAAAAGTTGAACAAAATTTTTGCGTATTTTCAGGGGTTTATGGAATGTACCTTTTATCACTGGGACCTATCTTATCCATGGATCACTCGTCCCATCCTTGCTCGGGGCCTACACCAGCAGTGACCTTGACCCAGACATGGCTTTCTGCAAGGTCATCCGTGAGATGGTAAGTGTTTGTTACACAGCCAACTTATTTTTCTTAGTTAAACGTTAAGGTCACTAAACAAAACAGATTTATTTTATGACATGTGATGAGTGATTTATGTTTATGTTGTTGGTTTGTTGCAGGGAACCTTTATGTTTGTATCAAACATGTTTATGTATGGACACCAGACGGACCCTGACAATTTTGAGACCACACACAAGAACAACGACCTCTTTGAACTTTTCAACAACCCCTGGGTATGTGTTTTCAGGTTTGCACTTCAACTTGCACCTCAAATTGAAATGTTTAATGAGAATAGATTGTTTTTGTTCAGTTTTAGGCGAAAAACCTCTGTTAAATTTAGATTCTAATTATAAACAATTGTCTGAAATGTACTATGGGACTCATCTTTACTGAACCCTGTGCAACCCAGTAACCTGTGATAATCCAGTAGCTTCAATAAACTGCAATAACCCAATAACCTGTAATAACCCAATGGCTTCAATAAACTTAATAACACAGTAACTTGTAATACTTTCGTAACTTGTAATAACCCATCAACATGTAATAACCCAGTAACTTGTAGTAACCCAGTTACCCGTAGTTACTTGGATACCTTGTTATACGTATCTGTATAACCCAGTTACCTGTATTTAGAAGAAATTCATATAAACCACATTGTATCAATTTTTTGTAAAATTAACCTGCGTAAACAGAAAACTATTATTGATCCTGTTACTAAATGTACAGTTAAGACAGGTTTCATTGTACACAGTATACTTTGAGTTACTTCAATGATAAAATATATATTTCTGCTATGTACCTTAAATATCCTTCAATAAGCCCAGGGGGCACACCCATAATCTCTAACTAAAAGTAGGGGATTGGCTAACAGGACAGTTAAAAAGATTTTGTTAGAATTTTTACTGAACTTAAATATATATATAGATATGGATGGGCTTATTGCCGAATAAATATAATATACAATACATGATGTGGGAAAGACCTGTTTGGGTTTATAAGTATTGTACAAGTGTATATGTATTCACCACTGTGTTCCTCTAATGAAAATCTTCAGACTATAGCTATGATGTTGGTCATGTTTCAGGACTGGGAACTGAAGTACATCCATCAGAACTACTCCATAAGTCTTGACCCTAACTACACGCTTCCCATGGTAAGTTGATTTACAAAAGTATTTAGAAGTAAACTATTTTAACATATTTCTTCAAAAAACACTCCAGAGAGATTACTTATGAGTAAAAGATATATGGATCGGAAAAAATTTGTCAGTACCATTGAAAATTCAGGTCAAGATGAATATACATAGATATGGTCATAACAGAGAAGAGCACTATCCGACAAATTCAAATATCAGCTTTATTCTACATACACCTCAGTACAGATATGTACAGATACATGTATGTGCGATAACCCTATACTATGCATAGAAAAGGAGGCTATTTTTGTACTTCACACATAGATATGAGAGGTAACTCTATTCTACACACAGATATGGGAGGTAACTCTATTCTACACACAGATATGAGAGATAACTATTCTACACACAGATATGAGAGGTAACTCTATTCTACACACAGATATGAGAGGTAACTCTATTCAAAACACAGATATGAGAGGCAACTCTATTCTACACACAGATATGAGAGGCAACTCTATTCTACACACAGATATGGAAATAATTCCTTCTACACACGTAGATGTGGAAGGTAACTCTCTTCTACCCATTATGTGGGAGATAACTCTTTACTTCACTCATAAACTTGGAGATAACTATGGCCTCTTTTGCGTATCCGATTCACACAGTTGAAAGGGTTAAACCTAGAAAGAATACGACAGGCACAGATCTGAACCGAGACTGACCACAGGAATATTCGGCATGTATAGATTGAGGGGTCCAGACGTACCTGACCAAGATTAAAATGCTGATTATTGCTAGTTTGCGTTATTTCTTTCTAAAGCAAGGTCAAGCCACATGTAGATTTTAAGATACGTTGTATAATTTAGTGGACGCATGAAAGGACATTTATAGCTCTGCCTATAGTTCGGTCCAAGTGTGTTCGTTTCTTGTGGAATATTTCTGCCCTACCTGAACCGTTTCAACCGGGATACACAAATGTAGATTAATTTTACACACATAACTATATTCTTCATGTAAAGATAGGGGGGATAACTTTATTCTTCATATACAGATAGGGGAGATAATGGAGAATGTATTGTGCTGACGTTGTGTATCTATTACTGTCCTTAGCCGTGCCCTGATGTGTTCTGGTTCCCAATTGTCACCGACGCCTTTTGTGATGAACTTATCTCGGAGATGGAGAATCATGGTCAGTGGTCTGGTGGCCGCAACAGTCACAAGGTCAGTATCAAGGTCAAATAACGATTGGTCACTCTGTTGACCAGCCCATGTCATGAAAATTTCAGAACAGTAGATGGTTGAGCTATGGTTCATTCAGCTTAATTGATGTGAGAATTGCTCTGATGAGCTAATGTTACTTTACTCTGTTTTACAGCATGATGTGACAGAAAAAATCTTGTATCTAGGTTGTCATAATTCATCTCACTCAAATTACATTTATACTAGAGTTATACTTTTGATATTTCTACGATTCTGTTTATCTTTTTTTTCTTTTTCTTGAAATTATGTTTGTAAGGATTCAATTCATGAGTTGCCATCCATAAGCTTAGACCTTTTCAGTGATCAGTAATACAATTCTATTAGTTTGAAGAATGAAGTAAAAAATTGTTTTCCTCAACACATCACAGTGTGTAAATATTGATTGTATCATTTATCAGTGACATATGTGATAAGACGAAGTATTAGTACAATATCATAATTAAAACTATATTTATTTCTTGTATTGTTTGATTTTATTTTCATTGAAATATCAAACATAAATTTAAAAAAAATGGATGTAAATGTTGAAATTTGTTCTCCCTTGACGGTAAAATCAATTTTCGCCCAATATTAAATTCACCCTTATAATTAATTACCATGCATATTACGTTGTTTACAAATTTTTGCTGTAATGATTAATTCGCCCTCATTACAGAGATCGAAAAAGGAGAAAATTAAACTGCAGCAAAAATGTCCTGGTATACAATGATGCCATTGAAATCAATGGAATGTACAATAAATTTATCAGTAAATTCTTTGTATGAGCCCAACATAAATGTCCATGGAATGGGAAACTGTTTACAAGTATTAGTTTACAGTATGACAATCTGACCTTGTTTTCAGGATGAGAGGCTGGCTACTGGTTATGAGAATGTACCGACGGTCGACATCCATATGAATCAGATTGGATTTGAGAGACATTGGTTACACTTCCTCAAGATCTACATATCAAAGTTACAACAACGTGCCTACGAGGGTTATTTCCACGATGTACGGGTCAAATATTGTTTACTTCATCACATTAGTTAAAGGCTGTGTTTATAAAACAGAAAATGTTTGAAATTTTTTGAAATTTGTATTAGTGTAAATTTAAAATGGGCTGCGTTTATAAAATTGATGTTATAATATGCATTTTCTTCACCAAGTTTTCATCAGTAACTGTTGATTAATTACCTATATTGTTTAACATCAAAAGTAATCAAGATCTCATTTCTTACCACAATATTTATCAATTATCTATGTTGGTAAGCTGGTGATATGAGTTCACATCACCTGTCTGAGTTTTGTATTTTCTGCGATTAACTCATTCACCCCTGCAGACACATTTGAACTCTTCCAGTTCAAAGGTTGGAATAATTAATTAATTATATCAACATTTAAAGAATGTTTCATTTTCACACTGTCTACTTCTTTATCTTTTAAAAAAAAATAAAAAATAATGCCTGTCAGAGAATTTCTTCTACTTCAGCTAATTAGTATTTCTATTGTTTACAGCCTCCACATGCCATCATGAACTTTGTGGTACGTTACCGTCCAGACGAGCAGCCGTTCCTGAAACCTCACCACGATTCATCCACCTTCACAATTAACATAGCTCTCAACACACCAGATGTAGACTTCGAGGTAAGCTGTTTTAAACTCTCGTTAGTTTGTGGACAGTTTTATAATGTGATCTTTGGCTATTTTACCTTTGTTAGACTTTTTGAGGTTAAATTGTATAGCTTTATGAAAGACAACAACAAAAGGGATGATGTGGTACTCTCCAATGTTTGGCGCAGTATTTGTAAACTTCTGATTGGCTGAAGTTGCTAAGCGATGAAATTTCAATGCAAAGTTGTGCTTTGTGCAAAATCGTTTCCGTTATTTTAGAAACTGAAAAACATTCATTAATTATTATGCATTAAGAAGTATTGTCCGTCTCTTTGAGTTCCATTATTGGAAATAACCAAGATTATTTTAGGGGTAATATGGTATAATATATACCAGTAGATGAAAATTGACTAATTTTTATAGCTGTTAGTGATACTGCATATTGAAGCTGAAATTCAAAATTAACTTCTATATCACTAATAATTTTGTTGGTAGATTTTACAGAGTCCAGTGTATATATATTGTGTGTAGAATCAGGATCCTGTGATAATTCGGCTGTCAATATAATTCTGTTTTTTGTCCACAGGGAGGAGGCTGCAGATTTATACGTTACAACTGCAGCGTCCAATCAACAAAGAAAGGCTGGATGTTAATGCACCCGGGGCGTCTGACTCATTACCACGAAGGACTTCATACGACTAAGGGCACACGTTACATCATGGTCTCTTTCGTAGACCCATAATAAACAATGTTACATTTTGGTCACATTCATGAACCCATAAACTATGTTCATGAACCAATAAACAATGCTATATTATGGTCCTCATTCATGGACCAATAAACAATCCTGAATCTTGGTCTCATTTATAGATTTATAAACTATGCCATTGTCCAGTATTTGTTTATCATAATTTTAAGATTTATAATCAGATGAAAATTCAAGTTTCACTTTCCCTTACGTTTTTTTCTTGTAAACCATATAAATTGTTAGCCATGTACTATAGAGGTTACTTAGTACATGAATAAGATTGTCGGTGTGTTGACCATGTCTATACAGAAATATACTTGGTACATATATCTTCTCTGCTATATATAAGATTACATTGGACCAATGCACTGTAGACAAAGAGTGTTCTTTAAAACAAAATGTGTGATAAAATTCAAAGTTTGTTGCAAAAATTAACATAATCAAATGATTTACAAGTCGAAATTCTAGTGAATTTCAAAATGAAAAACTGAATGGTTACTATTGATATATTTGTATATTTACCACAATATGTATCCTACAATAAGCCTGGATATACTGCCATAGCCATATCATCTGTGACTAAGGCCATATCATCTGTGACTAAGGCCATTACTACTGAACTATGATAAATAAAGGTGGCCTTATTACCAGGTATGGGCTTATTGATAGATCAATTAATAAAATTAATACTTTATACTGTGATCAAGCTATGTTTACCTAAGTACATGTAATACCTTATGTCTTTGATAATGACTCGTGTGGTAGAAAGAAAATCTTTGTTTCCTTAGGTACATGTGTATTGTATGTCTTGGTGTTTAGAATCCCCATACCACTACTAAAAACCCTAACTATGCATTTAAAACTTATTTTTCTGGCATTTCCTTGCAGGATTTAAATAGAAAAATACTAGAAAAGGATTAAAGAAAAAAAATTAACATTATTTGTTTGAGTGTAAATTATTCAGCATGGCTAGACCAGGATTTGAACCCTAGGCCTCAAATTGCTATTCAATCTCTCTTACTCTCTGAGCTACGTGGCTATAGGAAGTGTCCCAGACCAACTATGCTAGTTATTCAAAATGAAATTAAGGGGAGTTTACTCTATATACAAAAAAAAAAAATACTGTGCAGTGGGACAGGGATCCTTAAGGGGTAAAAAAAAAAAAAAAAAAAAATGTATGGAATTCATGGCCATCATGTTTCAATAATTGCATGAGAAAAATGATAATTAATGTTTGATGTCTACTTTGTCATAATTTTTTGGATTTGTTTATGATATTTAAATTTATTTAAGAATAATGATTTTTGTGAAATCTCTTTCCTGTTGTTTGTTAAGTTGATTGGAGATATCTAAATGGTATCAGATATATAACTGTGTTATGTAGTCTGATATAAAATAATCTGTAATCTAGCTTCTTCATAATTAGAAGATGATATGTGCTAATATATCATCTAATAATTATGAAGTCACAACTACCTCCAGTATTTCTTATACTGAAATAAAATAATGGGTTTCACAGTTAGCTAGATGTTTTGAAACTTACCACATCTTTACAAAAAGATCTTTACTGGGAAATTATTGTGCAGTGTAATTTTTGCCTTTTTGCCCTCCGTAATGAGGTTGAGTTTATCATTACAGGAAAAGTTTGTAAACAACATAATATACATAGTAATTAAATGTGAAGGGCAAGTTTAATATTAGGTAACAGATTTTAACGTTGAAGGGCAAAAATTTGACTTGGCAAAATTTTCCAGTGTACAGTACTTTGTATGATAGATTTCTCACCTTTTAATTCTATTGATCTTATATATCTGCCGTCCATAACTATCTACCTGTTGTATTGCAATGAAAATCAAATCATATTTCCTAATCTGCCCACCGTATTGTTTCTAAAGGTGACCCTTTAGCTGTCATGATTGACCTTGCTTTAATGTAGGTGACCTTGCATTTTGTGTAGGTGACCTTGCTGCTAGGTGACCTTGCTTTCTGTGTAGGTGACCTTGTTACTGTAAATGTATAATTGTTTGTTTCGTACATGAATTTGCATGCAATGCTTCACATACAAATAATTATCTTATGCAATTTAAGCAATCAATACAATTTTTACAGGGTGACCTTTTTAATAAGCTTGCTCTCTTTGTGTGGATGGACAACTTTGAAGACAATTTACAGTCACACGCTGAAAGTATTTTCCCACACTTTTTGGTTCATACATTTCTACATTAGTTTACCAGATAAGCCACTGAAACAAAATTTTACCTCCTTTTGCAATGTTGCCTTATTTTTCTGTTTAATGGATCGCAAATTACCATAATCTCAGAAATACAATTTTTCCCGGTAAGATGAAAAAGAAGATGCTGCAAAAGCCTTCTTTTTTTGTTTTAAATAACTCTTGAAACTAATTACAGACTTTCACAAAAACGATAATTTTGTGAGATGAAGGTATAGAAAACTCAGTTGTAAATTTTTCGTTTTAGTGTCACCGTCAATTACTTTTAAAAAAATAGTAAAAAAAAATGAGAAAAATACATAATTGCTTACCAAGGTTAGGAAATACTTTTAGACCATGACTGTATGTTTTGGTGAAGTTTGAGTCCTGAACTGATGTGTCAACTGGATTGTGCACACCTTAACTGTATTAGGAGTAGCTTTCTATAGAATTATTTAAAACATTTTTTTTTTTCATTTTCATCAATAATTGTATCTGATTTGTGTATGATTTTCATAGCATGCATTATCAATAGTCAATCTTTTTTTTTTAAGTATCACAAGATATTATTAAGGAAGTATGTAAATTTAAATGCATCACCTGAATGTTGATCTGCACTTCACTAAATATGCATTCAGTTGAAAATTAATGTTAAGATGTGCAATAGCAATCAAAATAATAATAATAATAATTTAAATCCAAAGATTTGACAATCTGTACATCAGGTACCTATATTAAACAGCATGGAACGGTTGATTTTCAAAAGCAGGGAAGACCGGTCATCTCATCGGTTTCTTGGTAATTTATCATAGATTACCTAGGGAATCGCTTCATCTAATATCTTTCTATAGTTTTTATATGAAATATTTGTAGAACACCTGCATTCTTGAGTTGTATATAACTATGCACATTATATAATTATGTCACAGCTTATCACCAATATATATTCGTTCGTTTTTCACTTTAACTTGATAACAATGATATAATGCTGTTATGTGTGTTTACGCAGAATTGTACAAAATTTTGACTGCTGATATTATAACTTACTGCCTTTTGAAAGATTTCAACTCAATAATTATTGTTTCGATTGTATGACGTACCCCGTACTTAAGTTTGTCAAGACTTTGAAGACTGGACTTCTTGCAAAACTTGTTCTTGTTATATAAGACTTTAAAGAGTTACGCATAATGAGATGTAAAGTCATGTTTGGATTTTACCTGTGATGATTAAGTGATATTCTACAGGTGGAAGGCTTCTTAACCATGGAAAAATAATTCTTGATTATTTCTATCTTTCATTAATTGCATAAAACTTAAAAATGCCACGAAACCTGTATTCTCGACACCCTGGTATTTCAGAATATTTATTGTATTCCTAGATTGTTTATTCGTTATTTTATATGCATCTTATGTTACTATTTCATATTTTTGTGGAAAATTTCTTGCCAAAATTAAATTGCCAGTACAATTTGTTCATACCTGTATAAATTCTCCATTGAGAGGAGGCTATTTCAGTATTTATAGAAGTTATGTATAGAATTAATATTTGTGAATTAATACAAAAATTAAACTTGATTTGAAATTCAAAATAAACTGATTGATGTAGGCGATTCAATTAAGCATTTTTTTAATAGCTTCTCTCATCAAGTATTGGTTGTTGGATAAAATGGTAGAAGTTGAATTTTATCTGAAGAAGAAATTGCAATGTATCTATATATGATTATAAGGTTGGTGCGATATTTTTAATTTTTGATGAATTCTGTCCATTACCCAAGAGTAGGAAACTTTATATAGAAGAACGTCGGTGAGATTTTCCCTGGTGGTGAATCTTGTTCTTAAACAGTAATCATTTATAGATTTAGTATACATGCTTGAAACCAGTTTAGCTCAAGATCAGTATATTTAAATAAACAGTACATGTAGTGAATATACAGCATTTATGCAGCTTTTTACTGCCTTTATAATAATTGTATTATTCTGTCATTTGAAATATAAATGTCATTGCTGATTGAATGATGTATTTGTTCAAAAATATTTTCGCATCTGCTGCTTTTTGTCATCATTTTGATTTTTTTTGTGAGAGAGAGTTCTTGTGAGATAAATTATTAGATATTAAGACCAAAATTCTAATTTTTTTTTAAGAAAGTATTGAGGGATTGGTGGACAGTTCTTGAATAGATCAATGAACAGTTATCTGGTGAAGACTTAAAGATATTTATCAAATTTTTAAGTCAGTAATTAATCTCTTGCAAAGTCTTTCAATTTTGTGCTGTTCAAGTTTCTATCAAATTTTTAAGTCTGTAATTAATCTCTAGCTAAGTCTTTCAATTTTGTGCTGTTCAAGTTTCTACCTTTCAACTGAGTTGCAAGTAAATATCCTTTTCCTGTCGAGGCAATAAAATCCAGAATTTTTTTTATCGTTGCAAAATCAATATGAGAATCTGGAGGAAAAATTCAGTATCTTGCATTGTCACAAGGTTTGGAAGGTGCCAGTTGTTCTGGGACCAATTGACAAATTATTTAACCATTCTAGTCACAACATTGTTAATTGTTCACTGAATCTCAATCTAACCCCAATTGTTCATTGATCTTCGAGAATGTTCACAGAGATTGGTGCCATGTTCACTGATGTTACAAGCTTAACTTTTGTCGTATTTTTGCAAAATAAAGTTATTTCATTAAAAACATGCTTTGTGGGTTCCTTTCTCTCACATACTGTTACTTGTCACTTATTTTACATTTTGTTTGGAATTAAATTAACATTTCCTGGACTACAGATTGTAATACTATCCTTCTAACTAAACTTACTCATTGCAGAAAAGTCCTGGCCCAACTTTCCTATAGTTTCCATACTTATCCACCAATACGCCCAGAGGGCCAACACATTATCTCCGACTGAAAGTAGGGGGATGGGCTTATTACAGGGCAAAGCCTAGAAAATGTCTGTAGGGCATTAATCGCCGCCATGTGAAATCAGTTTCAGTGTTTGATGTTCTATAAATAGTTAGAACCACTTTGACCTTGAAATCCTGGAAAATGAACTCATCAGAAGTATTCTGTGTATAAACTGTCATCAAAATCTGTTCAGAAATGAAGTAGCTAGTGATGACACTGTATCGGTTGATGATTTTTAGCTCACCTGGCCTGAAGTGAGCTTATCCATTGTCCGTCAACTTTTTCCTTTAAAACGCTACTAGTCCTGAACAGCTCAGAAGGATTTTGACCAAATTTGGTGTGGAGCATCATTGGCCAAAGGGTTCTCAGTTTTGTATAAACCGAAGGGTATGGTCCCCCTTGGGGCAGAGGGGCCAGGCCAAATTGGGGGAAAATAGATAAATCTTTAAAAATCTCAACCAATAGAAGGATTTAATTCTGACCAAATTTGTCCTAGAGCATCTTGAGGGAAATAAGAGGATTTTTTTCTCTCCTACTATACAAGTGAAGGGATTTAAACCAAATGGCAGTCTGAAGCATGCTTAGGGACAAAAGAATCAATTTTGTTTAAACTGAGGTGTGTGTGCCCACTTCTTTGGGGCAGATGAGTAGGGCCCATTAGGGGAAATGGAGGAAAACATTTAAGATCCTCCTTTTGTAATGATGAAGGGATTTTGACCTAAATTGGTGTGGAGCATCATTGCCCAAAGGGTTCTCAGTTTTGTATAAACGGAGGGTATGGTCCCCCTGGGGGCAGATGGGCGGGGCCAAAAAGGGGGAAAATAGGTAAATCTTTAAAAATCTTCTTCTCAACCAATAGAAGGATTTTGACCAAATTTGTCCTAGAGCATCTTTGGACAAAGGAGACTCAAGTTTGTATAAACGAAGGGTGCCATGGCCCCTCTGGGGCGGGACCCAATAGGGAAAATAGAGGATTTGTTTTCTCCTACTATACAAGTGAAGGGATTTAAACCAAATGGCAGTCTGATAACATGATTCGGGACAAAAGATCAATTTTGTATAAACTGAGGGGTGTGGCCCCCTTCTTTGAGGCAGACGGGTGGGGCCCATTAGGGGCAATAGAGGAAAACATTAAAGATCCTTCTCCTTTTGTACCGATAAAGGGATTTTGACCAAATTTGGTGTGGAGCATCATTGGCCAATGGGTTCTCAGTATTGTATAAAAGGAGGGTATGGTCCCCCTGGGGGCAGATGAGCGGGGCCAAATAGGTAAATCTTTAGAAATCTTCTCAACCAATAGAAGGATTTTGACCAAATTTGTTCTAGAGCATCTTTGGACAAAGGAGCCTCAAGTTTGTATAAACGGAGGGTGTGGACCCTCTGGGGGCATAGGGGCGGGGCCCAATAGGGGAAATAGAGGTTTTTTTTCTCCTACTATACAAGTGAAGGGATTTAAACCAAAGCATGCTTTGGGACAAAAGAATCAATTTTGTTTAAACTGAGGTTTGTGGGCCCCCTTCTTTGGGGCAGATGAGTGGGGCCCATTAGGGGAAATAGAGGAAAACATTAAAGACCCTTCTCCTTCTGTACCGTTGAAGGGAATTTAACCAAACTTGTTCTAGAGAATCTTTGGCCAAAGGGAATTGAATATTTATAAATGGAAGATGTGTCTGAAGCATGCTTAGGGGGAAAAACTCAATTTGTTTAATTTGTATAAAAAGGTGCATGTGGGCCAATAGGGGAAATAGAGGAAAATTGGGACAGAACATGGAAACTCATTTTCTTGGTGTCTTTCCCACCAAAACAGATTTATATGTAGTTCTTCTTGCAACTTTGTTTCTTGTACTCCTTTGTTAAACCTGTTTGGTATTCAGCAGGTTTTAAATTGAACAAGAGGCCCATGGGCCTTAACGGTCACCTGATATATTTATACAGAGTTGATTTTGTTTTTAACATGAACAGAAATATTATTCAAAGTGACAAAAAACAATAAAACCACCTTACTCAATATCTAGCATACAGATTTCAGACTAAAAAGGATTTGAAACTAGCACCTCTGATTCTTAA